TCCTTTTGAGTTGTGGTGTTGGTGAAGAGTGCTGAGAGTACCATGGACTGCTAAGAGAACTAACAGATCTGTCCTGGAGGAAGTGCACCCAGAATGCTCCTTGGAAGCAAGAGTGGACAAACTTCATCTCACCTACTTTGGTCATGTTGTCAGAAGGGTCCATTCCCTGGAAAAGGATATCATGCTTGGTAAAAAGGGGAAGGCCCTCAACAAGGTGGATTGACACAGTGGCTGCAACAATGGGCTCAAGTATAGAAAGGATCATGAGGCTGGCACAGGACCGGGCAGTGTTTCATTCTGTTGAACATAAAGTTGCTATGAGTCAGAGGCGACTCGAAGGCACCTGATAACAACAACAACAACACATCTCTGGCGGAATCCTGTGCCACAGCAGCTCATTCAAGACAAAGGATCAGAACAGAGATTGGAACTTCTGCCCAAGGAACACGTTAAAGTCCAACCAAGTTAACTGCCTACTAAAACAAAAGAAACAACACTGATCTAAGGAAAATAATGGTCAGAGCCTCCACAATTTAACTTCCATAACATCCAGTCACAACATGCTGCATATGAAGAACCAGGAAAGTCTGACCCGTCCTCAGATAAAAAAGTTAATCACCTAAGACCAGCCTCAGACTATCTACATGTTAGAATTAGCAGCGAGGGTTTTGAGGCAATTATAACTGTCCTCGATGGTGTAAAAGAAAATATGCTTATAATAAATAAAAAGATAGGAAATCTATACAGATGTAGAAATAGTCTCTTAGAAGAACTAAACAAATTTTAAGACTATGAAACGTAATATCTGAAATGGAAAAAACTGCAGGTGAATTTTAATAGCAGAATGAAGATGACAAAGGGAAAAAAGTTAGTGAATGTGAAGAAAAATCAGTAGAATTTACCCAATCTGAATAATAACAAGATTTAAAAAAAAAAAAATTAACTCAGAGACCTGTTATATAATATCAAACAGTCTAATCCAGGTATAATTAGAGTCCCAGAAGGCAAGGAGAGAGAATGGGGCGGGTAGTTTTGTGGGGTTTTTTTTTTATGGATGAAATTTTACAAGTGTGATGAAAGACAAATTTACAGATTCAAGTTGCCCGATGAACACCAAGTCAGATACATAAAAAGAAGCCACGGTCACATCGTAGTGAAAATGCTGAAACCCAGTTAAAGAGTAAATCTTGAAAATATCCAGAGAAAAGCACACATTACTCAGGTGGAAATAATTACTTGGTTAATGGTTGACATCTCAGAAACTGTAGAGACCACCCGAATGTCCATCAACAGGTGTTTGAGTGAACAAACTGTAATATTTCCATACAGCAGACGCCTCTCGGCAGTAACAAGGACCATCGCACACACTGCACCGTGGGTAAACCTCAGAGTAATGAGGCTGAATGAAATGAGCCAGCCCTCTAGCACATAGGGTATGAATCTATTTATACAAAAGAAAAGACCTGTCAGAAATGCAAACTAACCCACAGAGAACAAAATCAAATGGGTTATTACAGGCACAAGGAAACCTGGAGTGACGGGTGTGCTCACGGTCTGGACTGTGATGATGTTTCACCACTGTGTGTGTAGTCACAACTTACTAAATTGCATACTTCCATATATGTGTGGCTTACTGTATGTCAGATAAAAATCAAGCTGAAAAAGATGTATAGTCTCATCACATTATACGCTTAAATGTTACCCAAATGCCAATGAATATCCAGACATGTCAGAAATAAAGTACTAGTTGGCTCTCAAAATATAATCAGCAGTAGAAAGTAGAAGTGTACAGTCAACCACGCTCAGCCCTAGCCCCATGCCGCTCTGTCCACCAGGCAGTCGTGATGCCTTGGGTCAGCTGCTTCCATTTACTTACCTGAGGTGACAGTGTTCTCAAAGTTACCAAAACTGTATTAGAACTAGGTGTGCCGCACGGTCCCTTAGCACTCTCAACTGTATCATGCCTCCAAGACTGTAGGCAAGAAAACTAACGCACGTTCTCCTTCGTTGTAGATCTCCAACGCACATAGTCAGCAGATGGACGACCTCTTTGACATCCTTATTAAGAGTGGAGGTAGGTGAGACGTCGCATCAGACATCACAGGGTCATCTCCTATCACAAGCACACAGTTTATCTCTAGATGTCATAACTTATCTTTAAGTTCTGAGGAACATACTGTATTTCTGAGTGGACAGTTTCAAAATCTGTTAAATGTAGGCAAATACAGCAACTTACTTTAAATGGAGGAAGAGCTCAAAGCAGCAATATGTTAGAATTATCCATAGATATATTCCTGCCAGAAGAGAAAAGTCACGTCAGAATAGCAGAGCAGAACCAGATTTGAATTCCACGTTGAAAATCTTCAGAATTCGTTCCATGTGCCATTCGAGTGGGATAAAAGCATTCCGATGTATGCATTAGGATCCCTGGCAGCGCAGTGGTTAAAGAGCTTGGCTACTAACCTAAAGGTCAGTGGCTCAAACCCACCAGCCACTCAGCAGGAGAAAGATAACGGTCCACTCCCATAAAGATTTCCAGCCTTAGAATCCCAACGGGGCCGTTCTACTCTGCCCTACAGGGTTGCGAGGAGTTAGAATCGACTTGACAGCAGTGGATGTTTTGGTTTCTATACACAGTAATTTTATGACTAACAACTTACCCAGCTTGGGCTCCGGCATTACTAAAATTCAAAGAGATAACTCAGACAATTTCACATCCAGTATAAAATCTTGGGTTTTACCATACTTAGTGTTAAAAAGGGATGGGGGAAATAAAGGATATTAACCAAAAAAATGAAAGTGATCCTGCCTCACCTTTAGAAATAAATTGGTATTTGAAAAATTCACATGCTGGGGTAGAACACTGTAAGGTATTCTTACATCACCCTGCCAGAAAGAGTCCTATTTGGGCTTTTCAGTAGTGGTGAGACTGTGTCCGTTCACAGCAGGTACTGTATGAGGCCGGGGCACAGGTCGCATGTCAGTCCTGACACAGGCAGTTATTATTGGTAGTGACCACAGGGCAACATGTGCAGATGGTACTGTCTGCTGAGAACTCTTTAGGCCTTGCAGGATCATCCAAAGTCATAGAAATGAAAGAGACAGCCCACGCCCGGAGTTTAGGACTTAAAATTGACATTTTGACATCACCTTTCAAGATGTCATGCTATTAATCCCTTTACTAGGTATGTATCCTAGAGAGGTGAGAGCAGGACAAGAACAGGCATATGCATACCCGTGTTCATTGCAGCACTATTTACAATACCAAAAAGATGGAAACAACCTACATGCATTTCAACAGAAGAATGGATAACCAAACTACGGTACATACACACAATGGAATACTATGCAACACTAAAGAATAACATAGAATCTGTAAAACACCACATAACGTGGATAAACTTGGAGGACATTATGCTGAGTGAAATAAGTCAATCACAGAAGGACAAATGTAATGTTAATTCATTATTGTAAAAAGTTAAGGAAAGGTTTATATGTGAAAGGAAACTTTGTTAGTTGCCAGGGGTGGGAGGGGAAGGAAGGGAACACTGCAAAAAAAAAAGAGGTCATGCTGTTATAATAGCAGATTCACTGTAGGTGTAAGATACAAAGGAATCCCACAATAGCAAAATCAGGCCTTGGCAACTAATAGTTGTTTTCAAATAGTAGTAAATCTTTACTTACTGATTACTTCAATTGTTTTGCACAGAGATTTCTCTCCCTATAAAAGAAGAACCTTCTCCTATTTCCAAAATGAGACCAGTGACAGCCAGTATCACCACAATGCCAGTCAATACCGTGGTGTCTCGGCCACCACCCCAAGTCCAGATGGCACCACCTGTATCCTTAGAACCTATGAGCAGTTTATCCTCCAGTTTAGAGAACCAACTCGAAGCCTTCCTGGATGGCACTCTACCTCCAGCCAGTGAGGTGGCGCCACTGCCAGGCAGCATTGAGGACAGAGAGCCCTTCTCTCTGATCGGGGACCTCCACAATGACCTGCTGAGCCGCACCAGCGTGCTGGGCCACTCGCACTCGCCCATGGAGACTTCCGAGGCCCCGTTTGCTGCCAGTACGCCCTGTCTGTCCCTTGATCTTTCTGACACAAACTTGGACAACATGGAGTGGTTAGACATCACGCTGCCCGCCACGTCTTCAGGCCTCACCCCCCTCAGCACCACGGCTCCAAGTATGTTTTCTGCTGACTTCCTAGACCCACAAGACCTGCCGCTGCCCTGGGACTAAAGTCACAGATGTCGCGTCTCAGAGCTCATGAGTTTAAGGACATGAAACTGATTCTCAAAGGTCAGTTGTTAGCGATAGATCCATAGTTGCATCGTTGCAATTCAAATGTGTTGTCACAGAGAGAATGGATAGAAGGTCAGAGCCTGGAAGCCAGTCTGAACACACTGCACTGCACTTGGCAGTGAACTTCCCCGATTTAACATAGCAGAGGGCCTTCTGAGAACACACTGGTTGTGGAGGGCTCACCTCCTCCTCCAGACTTCAGTAAAGGAGAAAAGTGGGTGACACCTGGAGAAGGGTAATGGACGCAGGAAACTGACATCAGGATTCTCTGGTGACCAACTGCAGCTAAACCTCGGTGGTCACTTTACAAAAGGCAGACAGCTCCACTCAAAGCCTAAGGTCGGCATGAGGGAGGCATGCGATCACTACACTTGGTCTTTCCCTGGAGACGGCCTGAGCCAGGCCCTAGCCCAGCAGCACCGAGCCAGTGGAGAGTGCTGGCCGCTCAGTGACATGCTGCGCCCAGCCGCCGACTTCTGGTTCCATTCAAAACCTGTGTGCTTGCTTCTGTGTCGTACTCTATTCTGTGGATTTTGGTAGCTCACCTTAGGTTCCCAAGTGTAAATTCACATGGAAGATCTTGCACCATAAGCAGGCGTCTGCATGATCCCGTCATAAGCAGTCCGTGGTCAAAGGGCCAGGTGTACTGATAACACTGAAAATTGTATGAGCAGCCCTCTGGGTTGATGCGGTTGGTTCTGCTGTGTATATTAGACATTTGTATGCACACGCTAACATTGTGATTTGTACAGCCTACATCAGGGTAAGGAAGTGGGTATCCATTTGTCCTCCTCCTCCTCACTCATGTATTTCTGGAGTACTTGAGCCACGTGTTTCTGTATTTACAAACTTGCTTGCTCACTTGCAAGTAACCAGACCCACCTCAACCCAGAAAAGGCTGAGCATGAACTGTCTTTCTGAGCTGGTGAGTAGAAAACAGAAGGCAAGGGGGAGGTCTGTCATCAACCCAAGACATTCCCACGGGGTCACCGGTTAGACCGCACCGACCGTTGGCTGCCAGACCCCCAGGTCTGGCCGCCCCTCTTCTCTGGCTAATGCCTACTTACTGTTTTACAGGCTTGTACCTGGGTGTCACACCCAAGCTCTCACTATATTATCAAGCCTAAAGGCGTTAAAACTGGAGGTTTTCTTAGTTTTTATATATGTAGAAAAAAGTTGTTACAGATCTGCTAAGTAGCTTCTTTAGAGTTTCCTAAAATGCCAACCATTGTGGGATTTCCCCGTTGATTTCAGGCTGGTCACTAAGTGTACAACAGTGTCAATGACTGAACACAGAACCACTGACGTCCACCCAAAGAGCCTGGGGTTTTCACTCACTGCTGTGCCCTGCACCTGGCCCTGTGTCAGCCCTGGGGTCGGGTCGACTTCCAGACAGATGTTCTTCAGTTGACGGCAGGAAGGCGGCCTAGCCTGCTATTTGCAGAGAATTTTCTGATCATTTCTAGGGTTGTGTTATGGCTGAGAGCTGAGCTTATTTCAGCTTTGGTGTTGTGTTGTGGCTTCTGTGTGTTACTCCGTGTGAGGACAGCCTGTCTTCTCGCACCCAGTCAGCCAGAACACAGGAGCCCTCCACCCTCTGGCACTAGCTAACTTAGAAGCACTCCTATGCCCTCGGACCCGTTTAAGGCAGAGGCAGTCTTGCTCAGCGTAGTCTGTGAGGAAGGGTTTAAGTCTTTGGAAATTGGTAATCCGATGAAGGAGAGCCAGTAACTCTCTACTAATAGCATCACCATTTGAGCAGGCCCAACCAGAGAGTGTACCATATTGGATGCGACACAAACCCTTGGGCCGGGTTCCACCAAGGGGGCCTTGTCTCTGGGGGCAGGAGGGTTTACGTGGGCAGGTCCTTTCTTCTTGGTGGGTCTTGGCCGAGGATTCTGGCCAGGGGCTGATCAGGTTCCTACTTGGACTCTCGGCCTCATCTTCATTCAGAACTGAATAGCTTTCCAAGTTGACACCAGTTGTCAATGGGACTGTAGGGGGTGACCGAACAACCCACACTGTTAACTCTCAGTAAATCACTTCATATTCCGCTGATCCTGAGTTGTGTACATAGATAGGTTTCCAGCCCTCAGCTCCTTTTGTTGCTTTTTAAATAGGGTTTGAAACATGGCCCAGGAGGGTTGCTTTCCAAAAATACACAATGCTGTGCAAAGAATGCCAGCCCATGGCCTGTTCTCTCTTGGCTGTGAGTCGCTACAATGCCCGCTTCACACTGGTGTGCAAAACTGTTTAAAAAGCAAGACGGCTCTCGTTCCCATCCCACTGGTCCCATTCCTCTCGGCCCTCAGCACCTGGTTCAAGCAGCGAGCCCGGCTCTGGGACGCGCTGCTCCCCAGACGCAGCTGCGTGTTCCCATGTAGAGTGAGTCCGTGGGAGCCGTGCAGCACGAGATGTGACCAAAGATGACAGTCTCTGATCAGGGGCCCTTTGACCCCGCTTGGTGTACACAACAGCAAGTGCGTGGGGAGGGTTATGTTTACTAAAGAAAACCGTTGCTTTGTTGAAGGTTAGCCTCACAGCCATCAAAGCACAGGTCAGGACAGCCGCCTGGATTTCAGTGTGCATGTGTGTCATTCAGAGCTAGGACTGTCACGTATCCTGTTGCAGAGTATCTCCTGTTGCCAAGGACGCGACTGCTGGACGTGTGCTCTCGCCCGTCCCAGTCCTCCTTGCCTTCGTAGTCTCGAAACACCGTTGCACCGACCCTCGCGGCGTTCTCTTCTGGATCGGTGTTGGATCAGGTTCCTGGGGGTGGGATGAGGAAGAAGTCCCACCAGAGCTCCACGCCTCTGGCAGTCTGGCGGCACGTGGTCATCTGTGCATTTCAGCAAAGTCTCTCTAGGAAACCTCCTAGGATGGTTTCAACAGCTCATGCTCTCTCGTGTGCTCTGAAATGTGCAATCTGCTGGACAGTGTTTGCCACATCTTTGTACACAGATGTATTCTGGATTCGTGGAAGTTCCGGCTCAGAGGCACTTGTGTTTGTTTTATATGAATATTTTTGTAATGCTAAAGAGCTTATTTCAGTTTCCTCTGTTAAGAACTACATGGCTCTGTGACCCATGTACCTGGCACTTTCTGGTTTCCAAGTCCAGTTTACCAACAGTGGTGGAGGCGGTCTGGGGTTGGCTCCAAACTGCAGCCTGTTGAAGGCCATCATGGTCATAAGAGTGCCACCGAGCTGTGTGGCAGGTGATGCTTGGGGACATCTCGGGTGTGTCAGCCCCTTCATCACCAAAGCCGACTCAGGCTTTGCCTGACCTCACACAGACCCTTCCAGAAGTGTAGGCTCTCAAAGTCCTCTCAGGATGCCCTCACTGAAATGCCACCACAGCTGACAAGACAGTAGTCCCTGCAAGTGGGGGATGGTCCCTTTACTGTCCTCAAGCAGACTTGGCCTTAGGAAAGGGGTGAAGCACTTTGTAGCTGGAACACGTTTGTAGGAGCGTGCACTTTGTGGTCAGCCTCCCAGAAGCCCCAGGCATCAGGAAGGGGGATTCGTCTCGGGGCCACACCGAGGACTTCCTCGGGAAATTCAGAGAGACCGCTGATCTGGGCCTACCCTAGGCCAGCACCAGTCAGTTTCACCAAATTCACAAATAACGGCCACGTTTTGCTGTCTATCCACACAAACGTGAAAGCTGAGTACTGGCCACAGAGCGAACACCACACACCCTTGTCCTGCTGCCCTAGAGGCCACACATTGAGCCCAAGACCCAACGGAGAACATTAACTGGAAAGCCAGCATCGTCGGCAAAGTGTACGAACGCACACGTGTGCATCTGGAGAGCGCCTGGCCTGCATTTCAGCTCATCATCTAAGCAAGTCCCATCACAACTGGAAAGTAACAAGTAAGGTGTGACATTTCTTCATGGCTCCAGCCTGCAGTAACGTGTTGATTTCACAAACCTCTCTGCCTGCTGGGTAATAGGCAGGCCCCTGGCTGCCCCCCACTTCACCTCTTCTCGCAGTTTCCAAGGCAGTGCATCCTTGCAAGGAGTTTCTACCTAAATTCTCTCATCAAGGCAGCCGTTCAGGCGGCCGCACGTGTTTACAGAAGCTCATACCCAAACTCCACTTTGTGAGTCGTTATGGGGAAATGTCACAACTTGTGACAACAGGTGGCAATCTCAGATCTACACGGTGCTGTCTGAAGTCAAAGAAAACATGTCACTGGAGGTAGCAGCCCAGATGGAGTGTCTCACAGAGCGTCATGCCAACGCCCAAGATGAGGCTTCCCCTGAGGTGGTAGGCGCCCCGGGATCCTCACCACCTCTCTACCTGACGCCGTGCGGACACGCGGTAACGTGGCAGCAGGAGGAGGAAGCATTTAGGAAGGGGTCGCGTAGCTACCCGAAGTACTTTCTGTCAAGTAACCAATTGTCATGCAAACCTGCTTTAAAGGAACCAAAGGCTTTGCCAAGTATTTGCCAAAAGGAGGCACTTTTTATTTAAAATTGAGACTTACAAGATCTCAAAAATCAGTCCCAAAACGGTATTACCCACCTAAGGTTATAATTTTCACAAAGATGTAGATATCTCGTTTTCATGTACAATAGCATAGATCTGTTCTGTTGGTTTAAGGATAATTCATAGTTAGTACTAGATACCAAGTTGTTTTTCTCCTTTCTCCATAGAAATTTGTTTTCTCCTTTCCTGCTTGCAGTAGGCACGCTCTTACCATGATAGGTGTTTCTCTTCTTATTTTCATTGTCACATGACATCTTAGCATCTCACTCTGAAAAAAAGGAGAAAGATACCAGTCCACAGAGCCCTGCTTATTGACGCGCTAGTGTAATAAACGGACGATGATGGCGGTCGGGGGTCCATTTGTGTATTTGCCTCTATGTTGTTTCTAAAAGAAAAACCATGATGCCTTTGTATTTGCTGTTTGCACCCCTGAGATCAGTTCC